AGTTCCAATTTCTTTTTAATTTCTTTCTCCTTCAATAACTCTTCCCTGTTAACTAATTTTACTTTACAAGCGCCTTCATTACTGTCTTCTAATCGCACGCCGACGTTCGGCAAAATATCATCGCGCAATCGATCGCACTCTTGCAAAATATCGTTTGCCTTCAAGGTTTTCGCGCAATTTCGAACTTTCTCTCGGAAATTTCCCAGAATTTCAAGATATGGCATAACAGTCTCTTCAACCTGATCATGAAATATACAAAAAATAGGTATATATATTATAATTACATTTTATTTCAAATTGCATTTTAAGATGTCTATATCTATGTAAATTTATTTCTTATTTCAAAATAAGCAGATAAGAAGCTAGGCGAGAATTGGAATACGTATATTTCAAACGCGCAAAAAAACTTTATCGAGGTTATCAGGAGAACATATTTCGATATCGATCTTACATTTTTACTGACTGCCTCGTCATCAATTGGAAATCCGATTGAGTCATACGAGGAAGAAATAGCCCCAAAAATTATAAACATTTTAGTAATATACTTCGCAATCTCGCTGAGAAGAACCGTATTTGGATTTTTACGTTGATTCATGTACACGTTGCAATTTGCCACGAGCTCCCGTATTAAATCAAGAACAGTTCTCGTATCGATATTGTCTGCAATAAATTTCTTTTTAGTGACACGAATCTAGATCTATCAATGATTAGGAAATAATTGAGATTTAAAGACTTACCGCATAATGCTAGATTTATAGAATCCTTTGCAAATTGAAATTTCTCCTTTAGTTCTAGTTCGGAATTGAACCATTTAGTAAAACTGTAACTTCTGATCCTACATTTTACATTTAAAAAAAATTCCTAGAAAAATAAAATAATTTTATTTTTCAGATATATAATGTTCAAGATTGCAAATGTTCGAGATCATAAACGTTTTTGAATATTATTATTCTTTAATTTATCGATAGTGTCATTAGTCATGGCGCAAGATGTAACCCGATATTTATCGAGAGAATCGCCGCAGCGTATCAGTTTCACGTTCACGTCTTCATATTAACCGTACTGTATCGATCTGCTCTTTGTAATTCGTCGACATGGTCTTTTTGACTATCGATTTTCTAAACGAAGATAACTGGCCACCGGCATCTTCGTCATTTTATTCCGCGAAGTCTTAAATCTATTATTATTTCATATGACTGTCGCTAAGGGCTCGTCACATCTCTGGCGCGTTCTTTGTCGATAGCGATTTTAAGACGCCCGCGTTTTCAATTTCAACCAAATTCAAATTACGTTGTTTCTAAATTACGTTGTTCTTTAATTCCGTTATTATTTTTGGTTGTTTAAATAAAATGTTGTGTTATTTCATTGCTTCGGTGTCAGTGGTCTCTCACCCACTTTCCCCTTCCTCACTCACATACGCGCGAACATATAAACTCAAAAATATGTACACAATAAAAAGATTTTAAATATACATCCTTTTAGATGCCTGATATCAAATCAAGATATTATACATACATAAAAATTGTGTACTCACGTTAAGAAATTTTTCGTACTGCACAGCCATATTCATAGTATTATCGCTGTAATCTAAAGTATCTTTCCATGAATGCAGAAGGAAGGCAAGTCTGAGCTGCCTGCTCGAGTGTTTCTTTAAAGCGTCCTGTATCGTCACAAAATTCTTTAGCGACTTTGACATTTTGCAACCAGCTATAGTCAAGTGGCCAGAGTGCAAGAAATAACTGACCCAATAGGGCTTATCAAAATACGCTTCCGCTTGTGCGAGTTCATTATCATGATGGGGAAATTTAAGATCCACCCCGCCTGTATGAATGTCTAAACTTTTTCCGTGAATTGCGGACGCCATGGCTGAGCATTCGATATGCCATCCTGGACGTCCTTTGCCCCAGGGACTGTCCCACCAGGGTTCACCGGCCTTTGAGCTTTTCCAGAGCACAAAGTCTGTTGCCGACTTCTTCTCAGAGAGCTTATCTGCCGTAATGCTTAAGTCACCTTAGTAAAGAAAAAAGAACATTAGTTAACTTAGTTCTAAAAAATTAATTTAGTTATAAAAAAAACCAAACATGAAAGGTAACTCAAACTTACCTTCTCCCTCTTCCAAACTTGACGTATCGCCATATGCTTCTGGTACAAGCTTAGCATAAAAATGTTTCTCTTGTTTATCAAACTTGCTTACGTCAAAATATACTGATCCATTACTTTCATAAGCAAATCCATTGCCTATTATTCCTTGTACAAACGCTATTATCTCAGGTATATATTCACTAACTCTCGTGAGCACGTTTGGTTTTAATACCTAAAATATTTGTGGAAAAACAATATTAAAAACAAATTGTGTTTGTTTTAGAAATAAATAAAAACATTCTATATTTAAATCTTACATTTAAAGCATCCATATCTTTATGATATTCCGCTTCCCAATGCTGTGATAATTTATTAAATATGGAGTGTTCTGTGACTGTGCTACCTTTAATATCATCTAACCAATTAGCTAAGGGATCTCTAGCCTCTCTCAATAATGCCTGTATAAAAATTATTATTTACTTTGCATAAAACAATTTAAAAAAATAGATTCTACATTATATGTATCTTAAGTGACTTACTTCTTGAGACTCTAAGATCTTTTTTTCATCCTTCTCTTTCACCGCCTTCTGCAGATCTTCAATAGCTTTCGTTATTCTATTAAACATCTTCTCTAACATGCACTTTTTATCAGCGCAATTTGTAGTTTTTACAACATTCTCAAAATTAGTCATTACTTCTCTGATGTCATCTAATATTCCATTAAGGCTGTGATTTTCTTCCATGTACTTTTCGTACAAGTAGTTCTGCCTTGCTCTTTTTATAATCTTATCATCTATATCAGTAATATTCATCACATATGAGACATCATATTTAAAATAGTCTGACATTACACGGCGTAAAATATCAAAAGATATATATGACCTATAAAAAAGAAATATACATATGAATATCTCGTGGATACATCTAGAAAGCTACTTACTTGCATTATATTACGAAAAATAGAATATCAAAAAATATATAAAGTAAAACTGTTCCATAAAAAAATCTATTGTGTCAAATTGAGCATGACAGCAAAACAGGTGCTTGTCAAAAAGATTGTATTTAGAAATACTGTTAATACCTTGCATGGCCCATGTGCGACGCATCGTAAACAGTAGGTCCACAACTGTACCACGAAACGCGATTTCCAAACTGCGGGACAAACACTTCCTTTTCTTTCGTCAGACTGTTGTACAATCGCAGCACGGGGGCGTCCTTCCTATCTGGCAGATGCCGTGCTGGTTGTGTCCTCTTTGCCATTTCTAATTCGAATGAAGCATCGTTTTTTCAATTAGAAGTATATTTTTTTCGCAACTCGTACAGGTTACCTGATGCATTTCTTTCAATAACCCGAGAGCACCAAGGTGCGCTTTCTCAAAATATTTAGAAAACCGATTACAGTAAAAAAATTTTTTTTGAAACATCGATTATTTATTAATTTATGATTTAGTTTACCTTGCAAAGCAGCCTCTTAAAAATCAAGCCAGAGAACTTCGAGATTCGAAAAATCTACCCGAGTGGGAAACCGAGCCCGATATCTCACGTGTGTGACACACAACACACAACACACTCAAGTATCTAGATCATCAAGATCATGGTGTATAGATGACGTTATCGGGAAAAAGGTATACATCTGGGCCTGTGCTGCTATTAAATAAAACGGAAGTCGCTGAACAGCGCATATGCGGACAAAGGGCTGCTTTCCAGCTAGACCTGGCATCACGCAATTGGCCGTTGAATAGGGAATTTTAGAAATCTCACGAGTTTCTCTATTCGGCAGGTGGCGTTATTATTTTTAGGAGCAATTCCACCAACCACGGTTAGCTATGGAGGATTCACATTGCGTCCGATGTTCGACGTACGACGATCCGACATCCAATAACAGAATTTATTATTAGAGACAAAAATTTCTTATTGGATGTCGGATCGTCGTACATCGAACATCGGACGCAGTGTGAATCAAAGCGGGGAGCACACACTTCTGCACAACGCATAATGCGTAAGCATAAGAAAATTGATTGGTCCATACACATGTGCATAAGGAAATAGACCAATCAGTTTTCTTATGCTTACGCAATTATGCGTTGTGCAGAAATGTGTGCTCCCCGCTTAAAGCACCGGAAATAAGTTGGCGCTACAAGTTTATATTTTTTAATGAACTATAGCTCAAACGATTGCTCCCTAATTGCTCCCTCAGAATCACGGTCTTGTATGTAAGACCGTGCTCAGAATCAACAATTGTTCCCCTGTTAAAATTATTATTTTTTGAGATATTTAATAAAAACGAAAAAATTTTAATTTTTATTGAAAAACATATTTATAATAACTCTGTGCAACTAAATCCGGCATAGAACGATTGCTCCTTTATTGCTCCTTATTGCTCCATCATAATTTTAATGATTTATTGCATTTTTATTGAAAAATTAACAATAATTAATCATTTCACAAGTAACGCCGCCGCCGTCACTATCGACCGCCTATTGTAACTATGGCTCGGCAGCCATTGGCGGAAATATTCAAACGTAATATAATAGCTCTATTGTTCATAACTATATCTCAAAGAGTTTAGTCAACATTTCCTAT